TACTTAACTATCCAGAGCCAAAAGGCCAAAGATAAATACTGCATCCCATGACCCTTGGGTTCAATGAACTCCAAATTCCTTACAGCCTGAGAGCTGTGGGGCTCAGTGAATCTTCTGTGAATACTGGATATGATAAACTTCTCACAATAGTGCTCAGATACTCTATAGAAACGCATAGACACTCAAGAACATATAGATGCTAATTCTTTCCACCTGTTTGATAAAATGCAGTGGAAGAAGTAGAAGCAGCAGATACCTGCCCTTTGTTTTAGACCCAGATCACTTATCTAAAGTTAGAAGAATAGTTATTCCTGCCATTGATCTCATAGGTCAGGTAAACCTGGGGTACCAGGCCTCAGAGCTCAGGATCTGTGCCTAATCTTCTATTTAGGGAGGTCCCAGCGACAACACAGCAGCCACCAGCACAACCTCGACCAGGAAGCTCTCAGTGAGTGTTCCCCAGGCAAGCATCAGTAAAGACAGAGCAGTCTCTAGGTTGGGACCCCAGTATTAAACATCAATTTATAAAGAGGGTAAGGAAGTTTTCCCAATGTCTAGCTCTAATTCAGAGGGTTGACAATGAGGTCACTTTCAAGGTTCAAGCTTTAATAGTCTATGTCTAAGTGAGCCTGAATAAGTAAAATTATCCACAAGAAGATTAACCATCCCTCATTTGTGGTACATGGCAAAACCCAACACTGAGCTGGTATAAAATATTCTTTATCCAAGAACTCTATGTTGATCCATAGGCTGTAAGGAGAGAAGAGAATCCTATCCATATTCCCAGCCAGAGCAAGAAAATCTCAGAAGCAATAATATAAAATTTAACTTCCAAAGTTTGAAACTTCCTGCTAGTAACCTTCCCCCGCTAAAAAAAGACAAAACAAAAAACACCAGTTAAAAACTTAACGACACTGTGTGAGAAAATACTTGCAACATATATAACTAAAATAGCTGTATAGTTGTGTAAAACTGCGATGCTTAATCTGATAGAAAAAGTTAAAAGTAGAATCCAGTCTAAGAGCCAGGTAGCCTGGTCCTTGGGACTCCCACAGAGGTTCCTGGAATGATGTCCTAAGCATCTTCCTGATGGACATTGTTGGATGCCTCTAGTCTCGATATAGGAACCAGTGACTTGAATGATACTTATTCCTATTCAACTAGAGACCCGCTTCAACACATATTTTCTCATCTCCACGCCCATGCCGAGGGGTCATATGCTTTGAGGACACTAAGGAGAAAAGAAGGACAATAGGGGAAGAGAAGATTTGGAAAGGGAAATAAAATAAAGACATTTGACAGGAGAGGTGGAGATGACCATAAAGAATTTCCCTGGTTAGTCTCAAAAGTAGTTGTTATTAACAAATGGGATAGAATAAAATAAAAATTATTCATTTTTCTATTATAAGAACTAAGCTTATTGTTTCATATAGCAACAAATAATTGGTCTTTTACATTTAAATTGTTAATCACTTCTCTCTTCTCTTCCAGCGTAGGATGGGCTCTTTGCATTTGGGAAGGGGCTCACTCATGTCTTTGAAGCCCACACTCAGTGTGAGATTTGAAGCACAAGGTGACAAAAGGGATGAAAGTAAGTTTTTTCACAACTCAATGACAACTTGTCCCTCACCCTGGAAGGAGCTTTGCTTTGTTGGTGTCACAGCCCCGTCTTGCGACTGTACCTATGAACTCCTCTACTGAGAACCAGGTTGCATCAGTCAGCAATCTTTCAAGGTTTTTGTTTCAGGCCTAAGGATAAATATCTCACATCTGCTACCTCCCTCCCGTGGCAAGGCTCAGTGAAGGGCTTCCTACCACAATACTCTAAAGACTGAATTTTCTTCAGTCACTTGGAGATTTTCGAACTCTTACTATGGTGGTTTTCTCAAGAAATAGTTCTAAAATCCCCCTGATTCAAATTCCTTTTATTTTGTTTAGGATCTTGTTTTTCCCATGTTTGAAGGCAGTTCCCTAAGGCAGCATTATTCATTGTTTAGCACAGAATTTGGCAGAGACTAAGCACTTAATTATAACTGTTGGGTCAAGGTGTTAATTAATATTTATTGAAAGATATTATATGGAATGACTCTCAAAATCATGCTGAATAAAAACTTCTCATCTTCTTAACAATGAGTGAAACAAAAGTATTCATCGGTAAATATAAATGCAAAATTAGACCTGTGGACAAAACTCAAATAGACAGCACACCAACTCTCACTCCCCGTCCTTCAAAAAAAATCTTTACGATCTAGGACAAGGAAAGCCTGGTTATGTGAATATGGCAGTTTATGGCATGGTTGTCATACAGTCATAATTTGTTAATAAATATTCCAAGTGTATCCATATATGCCAGGTTCTGAAATCGTAATAGTAATTCAAGGTTGGTGTAAATATATAAATGAAAGAAATATTGAGATTGCTTAGAGAAATATGAAGGATAAGAGTCACTATGTTGTCAGTTATGTAATACGAAAGTCAGAACAACGTTACAACTTTTGATCTAATGTTCATTACTGCAGTATTGAGAGAGTTTGGAGAATCCAGACTGAGTCCAGAAACCATAAACATTGTGGATCTTTTTGGTTTTGTTTGTATTTATACAATAGCCTTGTTGGGATATGAATCATTTATCATACAATTCACCCCTTTGAAGCATACAATTCAACGAGTTTTCATATATTCACAAAGTTACACAAACTCAGCACAATCAATTTCACAATGGTACATTTCCCAAAATGAAACCCGTCCCATCAGCCGTTACTCAACATTTTCCCCCATGAAACTCCTTCTAAGTAACTACTGATCTACTTTTTCTCTTTGTCCTTTTGGGCTGTAATAGCAAATTTCGCAGACTGTGTAGCTTATCAACAACAGGAATTGATTTCTCATAGTTCTGGAGGCTGGGAAGTCCAAGATCTAGACACTGGCAGGTTTGGTGTCTAGTGACGGCTTGCTTCTTGGTTCATAGATGGTGCCTTCTTGCTATGTGCTCACATAGTGGATGGGGGAAGGGATCTCTCTGACTCCTTCTATAACAGCACGAATCCTAAAAGCATCACTTCTTAATACCATCACCTTTGATTATTAGGATGCAACTAATAAATATTGGGGAGACACTTACATTCTGACCATAGCAGTCTTTATAGATTTTCTTGTTCTGGAAATTCCTCATAAATGGAATTATACAATTTGTAGCATTTTGGGACTGGCTTTTTTTCACCTAGTTTAGTGTTTGGAGAATTCATCCATGTTGTAGAATGTATCGGTACTGCATTACTTTATAATGCCTAATAATATTCCATTGTGTATATATGTCATTTTTATTCATCATGCACATTTAAGTTGTTTCCACTTTTTGGCTATGAACACTCACAGACTATTTTCTGTATGCACATATGTTTCCATTCTTCCTGGGCATACATGTAAGAGTGGAATTGATTGATCATATGATAACCGTATTTCATGGTTTGAAGTACTTTCAGACCACTCCCATTGTTGGCTGTACCAATTTACAAACTCATGAAAGTGGAAAAAGGATTAATGTCTCCCTATGCTTCCAATTTCTTTCTGATTAATCTAACTTAGTGACTATATTTGTGAAATAGAATTTTCCCGTGATTTTGATAAGGTGACGATGTTTGTAGCATGCACGCTTTACCAGAATGAAGAAGTATTTCTCTTATTTCTGATTTGCTAAAAATTTATTTCTTTATTAGGAATGAGTTTATATTATACTTCAAGTACTTTTGTTTAACTATTGAGATGGTTAAATGATATTTTTATTCATGTGGATCATGATTTTTATTGATTTAAAATGTTTTAAAAAATCTCACAAAACCCCACTTTGGTATGACATATTATCCTTTTATATAATCTGTTCATTTGTTTTGCTACTATTTTGCTTAAAAGTTTTAAATTTATGTTCATTGAGTGAGCTTATCCTATATCAAAAAAAATGTTACTCAGGTTTCGTTTGTAGCCGAAGAATATTTTTTAATCTCTAATGATCATACCCTGGTTTAGTCCAAGCTGCTTTTGGTCATACAGAACTTTCAAAAAATTAATTTTGTCATTATTTATTTGATTCCAGTAAGAGTCTTATATTTATGTATCGAAATCATATTGTGAGCTAGTCTGGCCATGACCATGTTGCTCATGACGGCAAGATGACCCAGAAGACTAGGACCATCTTGCTGAGGTCAGTGCTGGCTGGACTGATGTTCATCTAACTCATTCAGCTGCATCATTGCACCCAGACCTTTCTCCTTCAACAACAAACAGGTCTAGGGCAGTATTGAGAACCTCCTTCTCTAGCTAAAACGGGAGGCTTTATGCACTGGTCAAGGTGTACTGGGAACTGGAGGCCCTTAAAGTTGTCAAACCTTTCAGCCCTTATGTACCCTGGACACATGTCAGTGTGGTTCCTAGAATTCCTCAATGGGTAGAGTCAAAAATTTACTTGAATGTAAAAATGAGTCTCAGATTGAATTATAAAAAAACATAAAAATAAATTTATGTTTATAAAATTTGTTTTTATATAATTATGTATATGTACATACATAAAATACTAAAGTGCCTACTTATATTTGTAAGAACTATTAAAATCAGCATGATTTTGGAAGAGCGCAGAAGTACTTTGCTGAGTCTGCCAGCTGCAAGGAAGAGATGGTGCGGCTGATGATTGACTTATATTTGTAAGAACTATTAAAATCAGCATGATTTTGAAAGAGAAAATAGATTGTTTCAAAGACATTTGGATTTGAAAATTCAGCAATTCAATTGAGAATTAGAAAATTAGTTCTGATTTTCCTAAACTAAATGAGTTCATTCAGTCTAACTATTTAGGAACATTTTGAAAGGCACATGGCGATATATTTTAACCCAAGAAACAAACATAATACCTGGGACTCTGAGGGTTGGTGCTGTTTTATACACCGATCTCAAGTATGAGGCATTTTTTATTGAAAGGAAGTTAATATTACAAAGTCTCAACTGTGCTATCACACACAGTGCCTGCCTCCTTCCTGTCTGTGGTTTATGGGTTTTCCCGAAGCCTCTGAGCAGGTGGCTGCCTTTATGGAGCTGAAGATTTTTGTTAATCTTCCACTATCATTTTTATTTCTGTGGTTGTGAAGAGCACAGAAGTACTTCGCTGAGTCTACCAGTTGCAAGGAAGAGATGGTGAGGCTGATGATTGTTTCTGCCGTTTGCAAGTTCACAGAGTACCGATCCTGCTTTGCATTTGGACTAGAAGAGTGCTGATAAATAAGGAAAACCATCTTTCCATTAGGAGGCTGTTTGTACCAGTATAAATCATAATTACTCCATTTGGATTCATAGGTGCAGTCCATTGTCACAGCATCTCCTTTCTGCCGTGTCACTATAGTCTGAACTTGGGTTACTCTCTTAGTCATGCTGAATCCTATTAAAAAAGAGAACAGGTTTGATCCTCTGAAATGTCTCAGATGGGTCATGAGGAATGGAGTAATTTAAGACACAAGAACAAAGAAAAGAATCACACAGTGTTTCATTTCCCCTCCTCTCTTCCCTCTTAATACCCTTTCTAGTTATATCTTGCCTAGTCCCATCCTTAAGCTCTAAGAGGAAGCTGAGGCCCCATGTTTAAGGCCACACTTACTGAAGCTAAAGGAGACCATGAGTGCCCACAGCAGGCCAGGACAGAGCATGATAGAAAGTCTTCTGGTTGAAATTTGTCTTGTTTCAATTTAGCCCAGAGACCAGCCCTTCTCTGAGTGCCTGAGTGCAGAGTTCTTGGGGTTGTCAGGTGTTTTCATTCCCATACAGGAAGTAAAGATCATATGTAAAATGTTACACTGCTCTAGTCAAAGACTGAATGAAACATCTGCTCCACCACAGACTTCAGCACTGCTTTGATATTTTTCTATAGCAATGCATTTGAAAAATGGCTATGATTTCTAGCAAGGTACAGGAATAAAGTTTGATTATCTTTTTGTTATTGAATTCTTGCTTAATACTATTATAATCAGATACAATATTTTGAATGATTTAAATGTTTTTTTGAAATTGTTAAAAGCTTGTTTTAATTAATTAAGGCTTCTCATCCAAAAAACAGTCAGCTTTGATAAATATTCCAAGCTCATTTGAAAAGAATATGTATTTTGTTGTTTTAGGGTAAAATGTTTTGCATATGTAAATTAGATAAAGAATATTCATTTTGTTGGTGATATTATTTTTATGTTTCTACTGAGAGATGTGTGTTAAAACCTACACTATGATTGTATATTTGTTTATTGTTTTTTTGTAAATCAACAAATTCTACTATTTTAATATCACTAATTCTACAGATTTATGTTTGGAATATTTTGAAGCTATGTTCTGAGATACATTTAAAAATAGAATTGTCCCATCTTCCTGGTAGGTTATGGACCTAATCATTTTGAAATCATTTTGAAAAATCACATTTGAAAGAATCTTTGTTAGAAAAATAGGGTCTTTTCCAACTTCCTTCTTGTACCAAGAAAAAGAATTCACATTCTCTCTGCATAACTGCAGTTGGTAACAGTCCTATCTCTCTCCCAGACACACAGGATAGAGGTTCACTGCACTAAATTTTTTTTTTGGCCACTCACCAATGTTCAGACAGAAAAGATGACTTCCTGGGTCATTTTCAGAATGTACCTTTTCTCTCTTGAGTATCTACAGGAAACTTGAAGAAAACAGAACTGTCATTTTTTCCTTCCCCAACTTGAGATGGATCTAACCAGAAGTCCCTGAACTTACAGTATCAACATCTATGACAAATTTTAGAGAGATAAATTATTAGTAAGAAACGTTCCTTTTCATCAGCTTCCTCAGAATTACACATACAGAGTAAACTCACATGAATAAACATCATGAAAGTTAAAACTCCATGTAGATAAAGTATTGAGAGAAGATAATAAAACACAAGTAAGAATGGTGGTTCACTAAGTCTAACATGGCTCTTACAGTGGTGTCCAGTGATGTTACTTCAAGGAACAGAAATAAGAAGACCTGCAAATAGAAGGTCCTACAATAGACTGTTTTTAACTTAAATATCAAAGTTTTCTTGAAATAATCTTATTGTTTTATGAGCCACTGAAAATCTAACTCCTCGAATTACTGTATTTTGACTTCTACTGAAATTTACCCATCCCTTTTAAAAAGTAAATTAAATATACCACGTAAGGGATTGTAGGAACCTCTCATTTATAGCAAGTCAGCCAGAAGTCCAAGTAGCAACCTAGACTTATGATTGGCATCCTGAGTTGAAGGGCATTCTTGCAACCTCCAATTTGTAGCCTGTGGGTCAGAAGCACAGAGAACAGACTGAGTTTGTGACTGGTGTCTGAAGAGCGGGTGGGAGGCAGGCTTTTAGGACTGAGCCCTTTGGCTGTGGACCTGATATTATTATCTCCAGGTAGATCATGTCTGAATTGAGTTGGATTGTAGGATACCCAGATGGTGTCTAGAGATCTGCTTGGTGTGTGTGGGAAGCCTCCCCAGCCCTAACACACATGTTAAAATTGGGTCCAGGAACGCAGAAAGAACTATCTTCCCCTAAAGATTGAGTTGAGCAGGTATAAAATCTGGAATATTCAAGAGTAATTTAAAAATACCGTCCTTCATATGTCGCTTTTTTTATAGCATACTCCATGAGAAGAAATGTGATGATATCTGAGGAGTGTGGGTTTTACATGTGATCCAGTGTGGTCTCCATGTTAGCCGTGAGGGAGTACTTTGTAGAATGAAGGCAACAGTTTCTTTCCTAGATCTTATCTTACACATGTAAACCACTAACTACTAACAGATATCTGGGCAATGTTTGTAAGTAAGTCTTTTCTGAAAATAGGAGACTAAGCAATTGCCTCATGTAGAGTTCTGTGCTCTTTTTCAGGTTCTTACATCTCTTTTTTACTTTATTTTATTATTTTTATTTTTGTAGTGGGCTCTCTGAAACAACAAAAATATGTTGGAGAGTCTTCTTCCTGTGATAGTGATATGATGAGCACGATTGTTTCAGTTGCTTTCTGGAAGTTCACAGAATATGGGCCCCGTGTTGCATTGGCTTCTGCATTTTTCTGTTAAGAAGTAAGGAGAATCATCTCACCACTGGGAGGCCTTTTTGTAGCAATACAATACATAATATAAAACTAGGTGTCATATGAACAGGCCAGTTCCACAGTCTTACTCTCTCGCTTAGGTGTTGTTGGCTGGGATTGAATGACCTTTTGGACTGGATCCTGTAGACAAAAGAAAACACAGGAGTGATCCCATGAGCTGACTTGTAAAGGGGTAGCCAAGAATTTGTGGAACAGGAGATAAAGTGCTTCCTCTCCCTGTCTTCTTTCTAATTTTCCAGGAGTGTTTGTCTCAGTTGGCCATTGTTCATCTTCTCTGCCCATGCCCACTATCTCCCCTGAATCCTAGACTGTCCTCAGCCTCACGGTCAGCAATTGTCCTTGTCAAGGAAGACAGAGGCCATCAGTGTCCTTAATATGCTGAGAAGAGTCATTCTGGCACCTCTGTTCCTGGGAAAATATCTCCAGCTCTGAGCACGGGACTCGTCTTATTCGTTTTGTGGAAAGTTCCATCTAGAATTGTTGGAGCTGGGCAATGCAGCTGTGTCAGAACAGGAAATTGGTTTGGTAAGGTAGGAATGGGACCAGTTGTCAATAACATGCTGCTCCCCCTTGCAGAGACTGAGTTGAGCTACTAGATGTGTTTAACATGGCCAGTTACCTCTTAATAAAGGTTTCGATTTTTTTTCCCAGAAATTTTTGGCCTTGTAAATTTATTGCCAGATTTAGATTGACATTAAAAAAAAAAATACAATACGCATGTTTTTTATCTCAAATGAAGATAACACATTTTACTTGACAATGCAGATCGGGCTCTGAATTTTTGTACAGGAAGAGATATACATTCTTACAACTTTTTTGTGATAATATTAGAACTCATGCATCCTTTTCTGTCTCCTTTTCCTCTCAATTCTTGTTTTCGAACACTTTCCTATAAAGTATACTCTCTTTCTGATTATTTATGCTTCTTGTAATGATGTAGGGAACATGTCACTAGGACAAAAAGAAAATCCCCATTCTGTTTAGTTTTATTTGCCCTGAGGTCAGCTGTAACAGATGAGTTATTTTTTCCCCACGATTCCAGGTCATTTGCCTGTCTACGAGATTAGGAGAAAGTTATCTTTTTTCAATAATCTCACCTTTGGTTCCTAACACTGTCTGACTAAAAGAAAAATTCCGGAGCCACCGTATCGATTGCTCTCCTGCCACAATTTTATTTAGAGAACCTAGGCTACCTTGAAATGGCCACTTATGGTTAATAATAAAAATTTTGGCTAAAAATCACTGAACACTTAACATGTCTTACAAACTTCATGTACAGATTTTACTTAAGCCTCATCTTTTGGAAAAGGTAAATGTTGTGAGAGATTATTTCTCCCTGCCACCATTTCCTCCTTGTTACAGAAGGGAGATAGAGGCCCAGAAATGTCCATAAGATCACAGAGCTAGTAAACGTAGGACCTGGGGTGTAATGCCTCTTTATTTTGGAGAGTGAACATTAGTTACTACTTATTACCCGCTTTATCTTTCCACACCTCTGCTTCTCTTTCCTTTCTTTTTTATTCCAAATTAAAAAGAAAGAATTATTTAACTATTAAGTTAAAAGAAGTGTTACTGATACCATGAGATCTAGAACATAAACATTTTTATCCACTTCACTTTTTAAAACATTTTTATTCGATATAAGGTACATGAAATAATGTCACATTTCAAGTGTAACATTTAGTGTTTTGACAAATGCATACACCTTTGTAACCACTACACGGATCAATATATAGAATATTTTTATCGCCCTGTGAGTTGTCCTGTGTCCCATTGTAGGCAATGCCATCCTTCCACTCCTAATCCCTGGCAACTACCAACCTGGTTTTTGTTGCCATAGATTGCTTTTGCCTTTTTGGGGGGAATTACATCTGTATGAAATAACTCAATATGTACTCTTTTTGTGTCTAATTTCTTACTTTCAGGATAATGGTTTAAAAATCATCCATATTGACAGATGAGTAAAGAGTTTATTTTTGTTTTTGAGTAGTATTTAATTTTGTGAATATACCAGTTTCTGCATTCATTTACTGACTCTTTGTTCTGGCATTTCCAATCTGCTTTTGAGCTCATTCAATGAATTTTTCAGTTATTATACTCTTCAGGTCTAAGATTTCCATTTGTGGGGTTTTTTTTTTTTTTGTGCTTTTCATTTTTCTGCTGAGATTTTATTTCTTTTTCTTTATTTAGAAAATATTTTCCTTTAATTTTTGAATGTATTTTATTTAGTGTTTTTTGCTCATGTTTATTATAGGTGCTTTAGAATATTTGTTTGCTAAATTCAATAACTTCAGTGATCTCAGTGTCAGTTTCTATTTGTTTTTCCCTTGACTACGAATCACATTTTCTTAGTAATTTTGGGTTGCGTAGTGACAATCCATGATATGTTTCCATTTGTGTATTTTAACTTTCTTGATAAAGGACATTATTTTTCTCTTTTTCATCCTAAATTCTTATATATAAATAAATCAATCAAAACTTGGCGAGCACTTACCACATGCCATTGTTGGGCTGGGTTTAATATAGAACAGTTGAGGGAAGATCTTGGTCATTGCATATCTGAGCAAATTGTTAAGAGAAGGTGTCATGTGGATAATTCAGAGTACCCCAGGCAAAGGTGATAATCAATCGGAATCAGCACAGTGGGAAGAGAAATGAAAGTCAGTTAAAAATGGAAGTGATTCTCAATGACATTTTTGAAAAACACGTTTAAAACTGTTATCGAAAGAAAGAGTTGTCCACTCAACGCTAGTAGAGCCAAAGACTACATACCGAGAAGTGCAGTGGAGAAATATTGTGTATTGTATTATGAATGAAACCACCCAGGAGAACGGGAAGCTCAAAACCCACACTCTGCAATGGTGTGTAAGTTACAGATTATTTAAGGATAAATCACAAGACACTGTGGCAGAAAAGGATGGAGTTGTGCTGGAAGCAGATTGTACGGATGTGAGGAAAGGGTAATATATCATTTTTTTTCAGGTGAAAACGTTCTGTTCTGGTGTTCTTCCTCTGGTTTCATGGGAAAGTAGCCAAGGAGTCATTCCATCTTAGGGCTCAGAAGCAGAAAAACCACTTAGGTCAAGATGATATCTTTAGCCTGCAAGCGGTCCAGACCTTGAGATCATCGATCAGGTCTGGGCTTCTGTCCTCTGCTACCTCTGCAGTTGCTGATTATTGGGGGGAAAAGCTAGGTCTCTGAGGGATATATCTATGCATGTATGTGTGTCTGTGTGTGTTAGTGTGTTGTATATACAGAGAGAGAGAGAGAGAGAGAGAGAGAGAGAGAGAGAGAGAGAGAGAGAAAGAGAGAGAGAGAGAGAGATCTGAGAGGTGGGAGTGAAAGCTAAATTTAATCAAAATCAAGAGGACTCTCGGTTTCAAAACCTTGGAAAAAAATATTGCTAGTGATCTCTCCAGGCAAGTGACCATATTGCCAATGTAATCTTTTACAATCCTGATGCTCCACAAGGAACCAGACAAAAGACTTGATTTTTACTGTTTTTACTGTCTTCATAATGACAAGGTGTAGATACCTAGCAGAGGAAAGAGGTTATTTTGTGTTTTCACACAGAATACATTCACAAAAGTAGTTCACGTATGGAGCTTAAGTTATATTGCAATTCACTCTGGTATCTGAAACTGAAATTTATGTGATTTTCCTCTTAATCTCAGTTACCTACCACACAATTACATAAGTATTACCCAGTAATTATAGAGTTATCAAAAAAAAAAAAGATTAATTAGATGTATTCTTAAGAGCCTGGCCCACAAATTGCACTGTATGTAAAGCAATTACTTTGACTAAAGTCTCTCTTTTTTCATGGATGAGCCTTTGTTAAGTGCTCCAGTGGAGCCGTGTGCTAGGTGAGCATCTGTGGCCCAGCTGCAGGTTTGAGCACAGCCTTTGGAGGCCATGGTATCACTGTGTGTCTACTCCACAGAAGTAGGTGCCTGAATGACTAGGCTGGGAGGCTGTGATGTTCAGGGAGCTTTGCTGCTTGTTTTCATTAAATGTGGCAACTATTTTGTCACGATTCTTCTCTTCTCCACCTTTCTGTAACATCATCAAGAAGATAGGGCCTTCTTCATGCTTCTGAAAATACCAGTGCAGGGAATATGAAGTCTTTGAGGGTTTGCACATGATGGTGACATCTTCTCCCTCTTGGATTATCATGGACTGAGGACTCTGCTGCACTTCTAGGCTTCTCACACCTGATAAGAAACAAGCAAATGCTCATAAGATGCTCAGTCTCATAAAGGAAGGGAGATTTTCTCTCCTTCTACTTTACTCAAAGTATAAACATCACCACATAATCAAAGAATATTTCTCACACTTTTCTTTCTGTCTGGTTCCCAAAAGGGCCCTCCCAAGGACAAAAACACAACCCAGTTGCTGCCCTCAGGGTGCTGTCACCATTATAAGCCTCTCCTAGACTGCTCTGTGTACTCACATGCCAACTGCCACAACAGAGCGCCTGACAG